ACCTTGTAGTTAGCAGCCCAGTGGGTAACCCAAGAATGCCACCAAGGCCCCTAGGCATCTGAAGGGGCTCTCAATTGGAAAGCAGGCAGAGAAACTTTCGACGGCTCCCAGGGGCTGCAGACCGCCCAGCCCCGTCTGCCCTCATGCCTCCTCTCCCACTCCAGGCTGCCCTGCTGCTCCTCCTGTAACCCTGACGTTGAAGCCTGGCTCAGAGAACGCCTTTCTAGAAAGTGACACACTGGTCACATTAGGCTGAACCGTCTCCTCGTCTTCACCCCCACCCCCCACCAGGTAGAGCTCCCCAAGTTCCTGGCAGGGCACAGGGGCTGAGGGCAATGGTTGTTCATTGACTGACCCAGACCCAGGCCAGCCCTCCCCTTCGATTCCCCACCCTCTCGCTCACCGGTGTGGGTTCATGTCACACACGGTGACTGCTGGGGCCGGCTTGCTGCCCCAGTGCTCAGACACCGTCATGGTGACCCCGCGGTCCCAGTCCTCTTGCAGGTGTGATGTACACTTCCAGCAGAGCATGCCCAGGACGCCCAGGACGCCCAGGAGCAGCAGGCCCCAGGTGGCCCTGCGGAGGCGGCTGTGGCCGGAGCTGACCAGGTGGTGAAGGCCATGGATGGTGGTGTTGGCGCAGAAGGTGAACAGGTCGCTGAAGAAGTGTGCAGCTCCACAGCCCCTCCTGCTGTTCGGGCTCTGCCAGCGGCGGGGGCGCCAGGGGTGGTGATGGCTCAGTCTGGGGGCACTTCCAGGTCCCTGGTCCAGCACGGGCTGCGTAGACCTCAGCTCCTGTCTGCAGTGGAGAAGCATCTCAGCCGGGTCCGCAGCCTGGCCAGGCTGCTACCTCCCTGTCGTATTAAATGAAAATGCGATGGGTGGGGTGAGGGGGTGAGGGGCCAGCCCCCACCCACTTCTTCTAATACTACCCACGGGTTTGGTAATGCACAATTGTACAGTTGAGATATATAAGCCTTATATTAAAGTCATCGAGAGCATGAGAGTTAAAAGATGGAGTCAAGTAATGGAGTCAGACGCAATTCATGGTAGCATCGCTCACCTCCGCCCCGCTTGGTGGTCCTCGTGGGGGAGAACCCGGCTGCCAGAGCAGGAGCAGCTGCCTCCCTCGCGGGAGCAGCCGCCCTCATCCACCTGCCTCATGGGAGCAGCCCTCCTGAGAATCAGAGAGCCTCCTTATTTATTGCTAATCACGCATTATATCACTTTAGGGGGATACATCACAGCATCATGCATCACTGAGAGGGGCAATACAATTCACAACAACCTGCGTCATAGGGAGGGGTTGCAATACAGGCAATACAAGCAATAGGAGGGGGATGACCTAGTCATCTTAGCGGGGTCCCAGGCTTGCCGTTGGGTACTGCTTCAAGGGAACAATGTCAGAAGGGAATGGGCCCTATTTGGGGTGAGTCAGACTATACAGTCTGGCCGCTCTAGATGACTGATGTTAAGGAGAATAACCTCTGACCTACTTTCGCTGACCGCCTAGAGTACAGTCATTCTCAAGCAGCTAAGTCTGGTACATGTTATTGGGGAGACAGCTTAAGAGAAATCCTTCTGTTCCCCACACCTCCCCAGTCCAGCAGGATGGGAAGACGACCACTCTCAGGCTGTGCAGACAGACATCAGGACGGCTGAGCCCTTGGTCTCCTGACCGTGTGATGCCGAGTCAGGAGCCAGCCACTGGCTTGGATCAGCCTCATTAAAGGCCACGGCAGGGTGTGACCAGAGGGACACTGTGCATCCCGTGTCCACCCAGCCTTTTGGCAGACAGAGATGTGGCTGACAGGGCCTCCGGGAGATCCAGGGTCCAGGAACCTTGCCCAGGAGGAGGCTGTGCTGTGTCCATGGGCCGGGGGCCTGTGTCAAAGGTCCCGGGGGAAGAAGAAGACTGCTCTTCCCAGGCTGGAGGCGCCTCCAGCCTCCACCCTTCAGCTCCCATAGTCCAGTCTCCTTTGATTCGGACCCACAGAGCCAGGCTTCTCCCGCCTGGCTTGGACCAAAGGTCAGCCCTGAGAGGGCTTCAGAACAAGAGAGGTAATGGGACCAGCCAGCTGTGGGGACCTGAAGGACCTAGGGGCCCCTGGCAGTGTCTTGTCTGCCTGCAGGGTCCCCTCTTGTGCTGAGACCACACACCACAGGGCTGAGGCTCAGCCCCCCTGCACAAGCACACAGGCAACTGCCTGGGGCCCAGTCCAGTCTGTGTCTCTTGTATGCACTGCCCGGGGACTTTCCACAGTGTCCCCATCTCGGTGTGAATCAGGTGAGTGTCGCTGACTGGGCTGGGCCTTGGCCCCCTCCCAAAGCCCTAGTGCTGGGCAGACCCCATGGAGGCCCCCTTCAGGGGACAGCTGCTGGGTCTCAGCCCACACGTGTCCTGTCATGCACACCTGAGCAGGCTGCTCCTATGTGCACTGGGAACCTGCCTGTAGGGACAGGGCAGCAGGCTGACAGGGCCACTGTCCCTCAGCCTGATGGCTCAGCAGCAGGGGCCGAGACAGCACCAGCTAGCCACACCCACACCACACCTTTATCCCCATGGCCGCACGGAGTCCACCATAGGCAGGAGTGATTGGGACCGAACCTTACAGGTGAGGCAAAGTTCTGATTCTGGTTCGGGGAGGTTCTGATGCTTGTAACTTTGGTCCCTCTCCACCACACCAGCTTCCCCCTTCCCCCCCTGCTTTGCCCCTTCCTCCACAATCAGGGCTGCTAGAGCAACCTCTGGAGAGAGGCTCTTGGGGGCCAGAGCAGCAGTGCACACCCTCACTCATGCACGGGTACGCCAGGCATGCACACACAGACACAGGATGCAGGCATGTATATCTGAGTGCTTCTTTCACACCCACCAGGCATCCACCAATGTCCCTGTAGGGGCTGTGTGCCCCTTCTGCCGTGTGTGTGTGTGTGTGTGTGTGTGTGTGTGTGTGTGTGTGTGTGTAGGCTGAACTGTGCTGGACTCTCCCCTGACCTAGCTCTAAGCACACATGCAGTGTATATGGGCACTCTCTGTGGAGCCCACCCTGCACCACCACGTGGGACCCAACTGCTTATCCAAGGCCCCAAGATGCACGTTCCATCTCTCCACCAGGTCCTGCCTCAACAGTACCCCTGAGGTAGACAGAGGAAGGGGAGCCCCATCTCTTGCCTGCCCCCCCAAGTCAAGCCCCCCTACCCACGTCAGAGCTCTCCCCTTGCCCCCGTACCTGGACACCAGAACTCCCTGGACACCAGAACTCCCTGGGGTAGGCGCCTCCATGCTCCTGCCTATGGGGCACCGTGGTATCGGCTCAGCAGCTGGCGGCGGAGATGTGGCCTGAGGCCGCTGGACCACCTTCTATTTATGCGAAGCCAAGCAGGCAGGAGCTGGTGGCATGGGAGGGGCTGAGAGGACCTCTGCTGGCCACACCTGTTCTGGAGACATGGAAGGGAATATCTTTGAGCCCTGAGATGTCGTTGAGCTTGGCCTGGCTGTGGGGCTGGAAGGGAGAGGCGTGTGTTAGGCTGGGACCCCTTGGGTGCCTGGTTTGCCTGCCGTGACCGGCCCCTGTTGGCCCTAGATCTCCTGGGGCACACGTGTTTCGATCGAAGATATAACACCTTCTTGCCCTTTCCAGCCCCTCAACTCGAGGCACCCTTGGGTCCTGCTACCCCAGCCCACTCTGAGCACTGGTGTTCACAATGGGGAGAAGTCTGGGTTGGGGACGGTGCCTGTGGTCTGTCTGCTCCCTGCACCCAGCTGCCCGATGGGACCAGGCGCTGGTTGTGGGATGGGTGACAACAGCTGGGTACCGTGGCCTAGTCTCCCCAACAGGAGCTCAGACCACCAGCAACCACCACACGACACGCTAAGAGTGCACAGCAAATGGCAGTGACATGCCACACGCTTATACCACGGACTTGGCTCTCTAGAGCTGCTGTGACAGCAATGCCGCTGGCGGATGACTCTCACACGCAGAAATGGATTTTCTCACGGCTGTTTAAGAGGCATGGGAAGGTCCAACTCAGGGTCTTGGCCCTAGAACATAAGTTTCCAAACTGATTTGGCCTACCACCCCCTTATCAGGAAAAAAAATTACTCAGCACCCTCACTCCCAACCTGTCCTGGCAATGAAAAAACGTTCCTGCTATAGCGCATGATCCAGAATAAAGTCTAGGTATCTGCTTGGGCAGCCCCTCCGGTTGCGTAGTGGTCATGCACTGGGCTGTGACCCGCCAAGGTCAGCAACCAGCTCTTTGGGAGACGATGGGCCTTCGACTCCCATAAACAGTTAGTCTAGGAAACCCGCAGGGCAGTTCTACCTGTCCGAAAGGCTTTCTATAAGTCAGCATCGACTGGATGGCAGTAGGCTGATTGGTTCCAGTGCTTCCAGGGTCGAGATGGCCCGCTGGGGAAGCACTGGTCGGGGAGGCTTTCGTGCTCTGTCTGCCCTGGACCTTCTGCTCCTCAGTAGCCTTCATGTGCCTGGCATCTCCTGTCCCCGTCACTGCAGCCTAGCTTGTCTGTCCAAGGTCTTTTCTGTCTCAGACAATTACACACCCTCCACTTCTCCAGGCTTCTTAACACAAAGCAAGTGGGATTGCAGCTATAGGCAGCAAGGCTAGGCTTTGCTGGGCGTGTTTTGGGGATGCATTTCAATCTAAGTACACATGTTGTTATCCGGTGCCGTCAAGTCAGTTCCAACCCACAGCACGACCCTGTGCAGAACACACAGAGACACTTTCTGGGGTGCGCCGCCCTCACAGTGATGCCTGCACTTGAGCCCCTGGTTTCAGCCACTGTGTCCATCCATCTCCTCGAAGGCCTTCCTTTTCGTTGCTGCCCCTCTACTTTACCAATCATCATGTCCTTCTCCAGGGGCGAAGACCACCCACTTTGTCTCACATACTCTGGGCATGTGGTCAGGAGAGACCAGCCCTGGGGGAGGACATTATGCTTGGTAAAGTAGGGGGGCGGTGAAGAAGAGCCAGAGCCTTGACCGGATGGAATGACGCAGGGCTGCATTGACAGGCTCATTTGTGAGGACGCCCAGGCCCGGGCAGTGATTGCTTCTGCTGTCCACGGGGTCGCTGTGGGTTGGCTCTAACAAGACCACAGGGCACATCCTAAGATGACATGTTATATGCTAAGGTGACACACTATAAGACCACACATCATATGCTGAGATGACATGCCACACGCGAAGCAGACACACCGCCCATGCAGTCGCTCCAAACATCACCCAGTAAGTCCACAATGCACATGCCAAGACGACACGCACGGGTCAAGTTCTCAGCTTCATTCTCATGTGCTGGCGGCAGAAGGATCAGGTGTCCCTGTCCCCCTCCCCAGGGCTACAGGTGTCCCCATACCTCCAGAACCACCAGGTATCCCTGGGCCTCTAGGACTGCCCACTCTCTCTGATCCTATTTCATGAACCAGTATATTCCCTGGGGGACACAATCCTCTCACCGTCCTCGGTCTGGTCCCAGGCTTGAGTCCTGGGCTCAGGCCCCGCTGCTCCTCCCCAGCTGAGGGCCTGGGCTTAGAGGAGGGCTGTGGCCACGGCCCTCGTGACTGGAAGGAAGCCGACTGGCGGTCCCTGTGAGGCAAAGGGAGTGGGACTCCTGTAGGGAGCTGGGTCTTCATTTCGCTCAGACCTGGGTGCGAATCACAACACCGTCACGAACGAGCTGTGTGACACACGGATTGTGACTCAACCTGCCGGGGCCCATTTCCTCCCGTGCAAAGGCACCAGACTCAGGCGGGCCCAGCTGTGCTGAGGGTCTGGAGACCGCATCTCCGGTCGTCT